TAAATCTTCTTCAGTTTTGAGTAACTGTAGTTTTACTCTATTTTGGAGTTGAATTTTTTTATTTATGAAATAATCTTTTGGTCTAGATGGTTTTTATTTTATACTTAAATAATATTTAAAATAATATAATAGCATGAAAAGAAAGATGATATTTAAAAATTTTATTTAATAATTTTACCTAAAAATGCATAAACTAACGAAATCAAAACTAAAAACAAATAATATAAATAAAATTAGTATAAAAATAATTTAATAATTAGATAAATTCTTTTTATAACTACCAATATCGGTAAAATATTGTACAAACAAAAAAATGATTTCTTTTAATACATAATTTGTTATTGAATAATTAAAATTTCATATGATAAAAATCATTAATTGAAATTGGAATAGAAGTTTTATTCGTAGATATTAATACTGTATAAGATGAAATATGTCTGATTCAAAAAAGAATTCTACGATTTCAGAAAATCAAAGATAAAGAATCTCGTTTTTCATTACAAAATGAATTAATTGATCATTTGTGAGAAATATTATTATGCACGTTAATAAAAGAAAATATGATATCTTATATATTTTATGATTTCTTGAAATTTTTGATGATAAAATATTTAATTTAAATAAATACATTTTAAGGAAGTTTTGTAAACATGAAATAGTTGGATGAATTTTTAAATTTTTATTAGAAGGTAACTTTACCAAATATTAACTAAATAAAAATAATTATTTGGGAATATTCTTTTGAAATAAAAAAAATAAAATAATACATCAGAGTAAAATATAACTCCACACCATTTTAGATGGAGATGCTCTAATGTTTTGAAGTTTTAATATACAAAAGAATATTCTTCGTATGGGACTATTAAATACATCATCAATGTTGCCAAAATAAAACTTTCTTATTTTGCTAATTAGTGGCTAACTAATATATTACATACTTCGTCATTCTCAAAATTAAATGTTATTGTCGAATAATTTTTGTTTATAAAATAAAGATCATTTTATAATTTTAATACAATTTCTAAGTTAATTTGTTTATTTTACCTCTAATTGAATTAAGAAAATAGTAAATAATATAAAATAGTAATTAAATAAAGACAAAAGTAAAAATTTTACTATTTTTAATATATGCGAAAATCTTTTACGAAACATCTAATTTGAAATATAAAATATTAAATTTGCATAAAAGATAATAACTCTAACGGTATCTCTATTTGGATATCCTGTGCAAGAAGTGTATTTGTATGGCTTGGAATTTTCGTGCAATTTTAATAAAATGTTTATCAATTTTGTAATAAAAATTGAAATTTTTTTTAACAAAACTTTTTAATTTTCTCTAGTAAATTAGTTTGCATATGGTTCATAGAAACGTTAAGACGGGCTGTCTGAGTTAAACCTACACAAGTTAACTAGTATTTAAAATTCAACTTCAGTTAAAAAATCTTTCATCGCATGACAATTCTGATCTCTAAACTGGAATGAACATATCTGGTAATGTATCAACAAAGGTGAATGTGAAGTGTGAACACAAGAGTCCCTCCATCTTATTTCTTTATCGAAGAAAAACAAGCATAAGGAATCTAAACAACTTTGGCAAAAGGCAAAAACAAAAGTTGAACTAAACAGCCTAAAACCACTAATCAAAGGTCTAAAGATTTTATCTATCTCATCATTTACTACACGTACAGAAATACAAAATACATACACTACCTATACATAGACCTCTCTGGAGTCTTAGCTACTAAGAATACAATTATTAAATTACTTGCTATACTCCATCACCCTTTTTGTTATCATTCCATTATTTGGTTCCCATGCAAGAAAAGGATAAATTTTCAATTGCGAAAGTGGTAAGCTTGAGCCTACTGTAAGTTATATGTAACAGATCAAATTAAATTGCAATCAGATTATTTGAACTTTATTGGTTAGAAATCTATCTGAAATTTGAGATTGCTGGGTCAAAAAGGCCTCTAGTAGCTAAGAACATTTAGTCATAGGTTCATTATATTTTAAATAAATATTCGAAGATAATAGAGAGACATGAAAAGTTTAAAATAACGTTTAATTTTATAAACTAGATCTTCTTCATTTGCATATCCCAAAAACATGCGACTGGACATGTGACCAAATATTATTCTTTTTGTTATCATACATTACCATCTAAGATCAGCTGTTGTTTGTTTCGTTTTTTTCGAATAACCAGTTGTAAATTATAAACCTTTAGTTTTTAGTTGTTATTTTTAATGATTTGAAAACGCGATTCGTATCTGACTAAACGAGTATTCAGAACTTCAAAATGAGCAATAATTTGAGACTTGCAATCTGGTCACACAAGTCACGCAACAGCGAAAAGAGCAACAACTTACGGTAGCAACGACACATGGCTGATTGCAAGTCGTAAGAGTATATGAAACAATTACTTTTTTTATTTGTTAACACTTTATTTCTCACTCTGTTTTACCGTAAATTATAGAGTAGAGTTGGAGATGCTCTAAATAGAAAATAGACTTAGATCCACAAAACAAAAGCTTTTTTTTTATCAAACGTAGCTATCAATCAAATCTTGTAGAATTCTAATATATAGTAATCAAAATACTGTAGTTAAAAAAAAATCTAAAAAGCCCTTTGTCAAAAAAAAGAACTAAATTAGAGAAATATATGTCAATGTCACGGAAGAAGAAAACAAATTTAATTCCCAGAAACAAAGGGAAAAAAGCAGAAATAAAAAGCTAAAAAGTATTAACTTTTTGAACATTCATAAAGCTGAAAACGACAGTATTGTTCTTGGTTAAAAACAGTGTTTTTGCATAAAGCAAACACCCATAATTGCTTCAACATGAGAAATTAATTAAATCATCCTTTTTAGCATGCTCATCTTACACACAATCACGTATCATTAACATCTTAGATATATCTCAGTTTGACCCGGAATCAGTAGCTTTAACTAATTTAGTGTCTGTGAATATGACTCGTCTTCTCTTTAAGGTAATGAGATTGTTGACAAAAATTAATGAGAAAGGGTTTATATATTGATAACACAAAGTTTTTGTTACACTGTTTTTTTTTTGCTCAACATTAACATTCATTTCACCAAGTTTTTGGATACAAGATTGGACCACCAAAGACTTATACCACTTATACATTGAGGCAATCTAGTATGACCCTGGATCACTTGATTGGATCCAACGCTACCTGACCAAGACCTCAATGTATATTAAACCACAGTGAGCGTAAGATCACTCCACAACTCGGAATAATCCACCTCTTCAACCACCTAATTCTACCACATTGGTACAACAACGTTTACTAACACACGAGAGCTAAGAACATACTCGAAACTGATTATAACCTAGCTAAGCGATCCTAATGATTCACATTCAAAGCTCATGACCCATTAGCCTCATCTATGAAGATGCATTCACGAGAAGGCCTCACCCTCATGGTCTTCATCCGTTGTGACCCTAAGCCTAAAACGGACAGTAAGTCCGACTGAAGATCGGGTTTCAGCAACACAAAACACGGGTTGATCCTAGCTAAATCTAGCTTTCAAAGAAGCAGAGCTCATACCATCGGTTCAGACATTCAGCGCTGGGTATAAAGCCACCACCACGAACCTCCGCTAGAATAACATCCGCTTGACCCCTCCATCCGCGAAAACCATGATTCGTGTGATTCCCGATAAGCGGAAAAACATACCATGTCCACTCGCCGTCAAAACTTTCCTCCTCCAGCCAATCTGTCACTAAGGGACGTAGATCGATGATGGAGAAGACGCCTTTCGAAGCCACGCGCCGTTGCTGAGTCGGAGAAGTCGAAGATCTGAAAAGGGGGAAAAAACAGATCCCGACCTCCGTAAACCCTAAAAGCCGACTTTCTTCCTCACCACTGTCTCATTAGCCTCGCCGCTACTCCAGATCTGGCCAGGACTTTCACCAGCGTCACGAAACGCAACACTAGCTTCAATTCCTGATCCAGAGCATCGCACATATCTACCAAGATCCAGCGGAGCAGAAGAAAGCAAAAGTAAAAAAAAAAGAGAAAAGGAGAAGAAAGGGCGGCTCCGGCACCGGATAAGCTGAGCCGGAGCTAGGATTTTCTGGGAGTTGGTTAAGAGAGAGGCTGGAGCGCTTGTTTTTAGAGAGCCGAGCTCAAAATACTTGTATAAATATAACTTAGTTTTTGTTACACTGTTAGTCAGGTTTTCGCCTACCGCAGAAAATTTTCCACTGGCCGGTTGTGGGCGAAGAGGGATTCAAACCTTCAACATAATAAGCTTATAAACTTACAAATCAGTACATACTTCTCTTCAAGCTGTCAATTTTTTTTAAAATGAACATAACATCATACTAAAGTAACTATCTCTTAAAACAACCAACTAGCAATACCACTACTGTAAATTTAATACAATACATTATTAATCTTGATTACAAAATAATTAGTCTGATTTTATTGAAGATTTAGAAATAAGATCTTATGCTTAAATAGTGGTAAAAAAATCTAAATTATTATTATTATTTTATTTTTTTGATCAATCTAAATTATTATACTAGGAGTATATCTTAGGAAAATATAGATATATAAATAACTAATTTTACAAAATGTTGACAAACATCATTAATGCTCTGTATACAAATCAGTTGAGGAAACACATGTGAATCACAAAAGCCCAAATGAAAGACAAATTCTCCAATCAATAACTCACTCACAAAGGACGTATCTTCACTTTTACCTACTAAAATCTTTGATTTTTAACATCATAAAATATAATTATTAAAAAAACATGAGCAGAGTAATAATGATACAACATGACCAAGTCCACAAGTTTTAACATCGCCAACAAGCAACACAACTTCCCTCCCAAAATCTCTCTGTTCTGTTTTGTCAAATCTCTCTCCCCACAAAAATCTCATCTTTAAGTTTTTCTTTTCTTTTATGGCTTGTCTTCTTCTTCTTCTTCAACAACAATTCTACTCTCTCCACTCCCAAAAATCCCATCTTTAATGGAGATTCAACGACCAATCATCAAACTCATGGTTCTCCACTCAAACCACGACAAAAGCGACAACCTTTCCCGACGAGAGTCTCTCCCCGGTAAATCCAAATGGAGAATCTCTCTCTCCCGTTCCCCGTCCTCGTCTTCTTCAAAATCCAACAACAGTTCACCGTCCAAAACAGAGATTCCGACAGAATTCCTCTGTCCGATCTCCGGCTCCTTAATGGCCGACCCAGTCATCGTCTCCTCCGGTCACTCCTACGAGCGAGCTTGCGTCACCGCCTCCAAAACCCTAGGGTTCACTCCAAACCCTTCACTCCCAAACTCCCCGCCGGATTTCACCACCGTCATACCTAACCTCGCCTTAAAATCCGCAATTCTAAGCTGGTGCGACCGCCGGAGCTTCCCGCCGCCGAAGCCCCTCGACACCGCCGCCGCGGAGAAGCTCGTCTTCTCCTTAATGGAGAAAACTAACAGACGTAGCCGGAAAGTTTCCATTTCTGAGAAGGAGCTAATCCAAGCGATAAAGGACAAACCTTCGGTGAGACTCGACCACGCCGCGACGGAGCTTGACCGGAGACCTAACTACTTCAACTCCAGCTCCGACGAGTCGGTAGCCTCCTCGAGCCGTACGCTACAGCTCGCGACTCGACCTAGCTGCTTCTCCTCGCCTTCATCCGCAGAGATCGAGTCTCTGGAGCCAAACCCTAGCCCGGAGGAAGAAGCTTTACTCGTGAAGCTAAAGAGCAACCGAATCTCTGAGATCGAAGAGGCTTTGGTTTCGATCAGACGCGTCACGAGGCTCGACGAAGGTTCTAGAATCAGTCTATGTACAGCGAGGCTAATCTCTGCGCTCAAGTCGCTTATCGTTTCGAGATACGCGACTGTTCAGGTTAACGCCACTGCGGTTTTAGTGAATCTCTCTTTGGTGAAATCTAATAAAGTGAAGATCGTACGGTCAGGAATCGTTCCTCCGTTGATCGACGTTCTCAAATGCGGTTCGTCGGAGGCGCAGGAGCACTCCGCCGGAGCGATTTTCAGTTTGGCTCTGGAAGATGAGAACAAGACGGCGATCGGAGTTCTCGGGGCGTTGGAGCCGTTACTTCATCTGATCCGAGTCGGGACTGAGTTGACTCGGCATGACTCGGCGCTTGCTCTGTATCATCTGTGTAACAACCCAGACCCGGCCCATTGACATTTGTATTTTTTTTAAAAGAAAGCCCAACTGCAAAAGGCCCAATAGCTAGAAACCCTAGGGTTTTCCCTCATGTTCCTATAAAAGGAGGTGCCTCCTTCTCTTTTTTCTCATTAGAGAGAAACGAAGCGAAGCCCTGCAGAGATCCCGGGAGACCGAAAGCCCTAGCCGTNGATCTGGTTCCTAATCCCTTCTTCCATCTTCTCTTGAGCGTGAAAGTACAGATCTGTGGTTGTGTTGCTACGTACGTCTACTTTTGGATCTGGATCTGTGACATCGAGAAAGGCTAAGGTGAGGACCCGGTCGTGGACTTCTCTCATGTTTTATAATACCTCAGGGAGTTAGTCCTTTGTTAATGTTAACGTAGATCTAATTGTTTGTTTGTGTTGATGTGATGAAAAGTTGCGTTGATTGATGATGTGAGTAAAAGAACCTAGATCATAATAGGATGTTAAAGGATAACCGGTTGCGTGATAAGAATGAATGATGTTAAGAATGAATCTGGTTAAGAATGAATGTTGATGAGACTAGGGCGTTAGGATGTCATCGATGAGATATGAGTTTGTGTCGTAGGGTGACGAAGTGCCAGTTTGGCATGTGCCGGTTTGGCGAGTGCTGTTTTAGCATGTGCCGGTTTGGCGAGTGCCGGTTTGGCATGTGCCGGTTTGGCGAGTGCTGTTTTAGCATGTGCCGGTTTGGCGTGCCGGTTTGGCGAGTGCCGGTTTGGCATGTGCCGGTTTGGTGTGCCGGTTTGGCGTATCGAATCGGTAGAGAATATAGAGAATGGTGAAGGCGTGTAAGGTCACGAGGTGTATAGTGATTAGCT